ACCCCACCTAATCCACAGAAAGTGATGTCTTTCCCCTACCCTTGGAATTTTTTTTGTTTTGCTCTTCGAAATAATATTTTTTTAAAAGTTGCCTTATTGTGGAGCGTGAATCTGAAATACCCAAATGCCTGTTTTCCTTGGAGTCAACTCAAAGAGTTCCCGCCTTCTCTGGATGTGCCTGGGCTGGACTGGCTAGAATCTTCCTCTGGACTGAGTTGCATGTACAGTGCCTCCTGCCGTTTGGCAAGAGAGTCGGGGGCAGCTCGCCTCAGAGCTGTGCCCAAAACACCCCTGCTGTTGCGGCGACTGGAGCCGATGTCCTGTGTCCGAGCACTGCTGCCGCTGTCATGTCCTTGCTCTGCTTGCTGTTTCTTCACACCAGGCCCCATCCTGCCGTGACTCTCTTCTTCCTGCTCTTGGAATCCCCAGGCCAAATTTGCTTCAGACTGTTGGAGAAGAGTGTTGGCCTGGATCTGGAACATACTTGTCCTCAGCTTGACCGTCTCCCCAGCCTCAAGGGAAAGGTGAACACCTGGCAGCTGAGACTTGAAAATATTTCTTGCGTTGCCCTGAAAGATCTCTGAGACCTCAAGGAGGCTTTGTCTCACAAAAGGTGGAGAAAGATGCCATTCTCCTCCTTCGAGCCTGGTGGGGTCTTCCCCTCTTGCATCCCCCTTCTGCAGGCCATCTCTGCCCACCCTGTAATGACCCCACCTGGGAACGAGGGGTGAGGAAGATTTGGGGGCTGGGGGATACTACCAGTTGGAGGAGCCCCACATCAGGAAGGTGTATGTATGCCTGACCTCTCTTCTCCAGCCGCAGACTGACTGGGTTGGGCTGTGACTGATTGGAATGGCTGGAGTCTGCTACATTGGAGCTCGGGAGGGTGATGAAGGACTGACCCACACAGATTGGGCTGTGTGTCGGGGCTGGGTGTGGTGACATGTCTACCCACAGTGGAGACCTGTCAGCATGGAGAAGTTCATGATAGTGTTGCTCAACCGCTGACATTTCCTTGGCCCTCTTTCAGTTGCTTCCTCTGTCGAGTCCAAAGGTTGGGAGTAGGAGACAGTAGCCCAGGCTGGCAAGGGCTCGCCCTCTGCTTCGGGCACCTCACTGCTTGTGGCCTGTGCCCTCCCCCATCTGTGCCCTCCTGGTGGTCGGTGTGGAAAGCCCATCTCAGGTCCTGTGACCTGGTGTCTGAATGCTGAGGATGAGTGTCTCGTCTCTGCTCTGACAAAGAGATCTGAGGCCTTTTCTGTGCCCTGTCTGGTGCTAGCCCCACATTGTACCAGACACTGGACGCTGTGCCCCGTCCCCTTTACCTTTATTCCCTTGCCTTTGGGTTGCTCAGCCCTATACTGTATCCAGCACCACAGAAACCTCAGTGTTTGTCCTCTGCTGGGTTTGGGGGCATGAGGAAGCCTTGGTGGGTATTGGGAAATTCTGTTCTTGTCTAGGGTGTACTCCCAGGCCAGGGGGCAGCCATCCTCTTCCTGATCCTCCCCACAGACACCCCAGAAAGAGGAAGCTCCTTTGGGATGGGGAGGTGAGGACTTCATCTCAACACAGGCTGAGGATGAGGGTTTGGAGGGGGGGAGCTTTTTTTCTTGATTATTTTTTTTGTGTGTGTAACATGTTAGGAGTTAATGTTGCGAAGAGTAGTTTACATCTTCACTTTCTGAAGACACTTGAATTTAGGACCGATGTATCTGTGACAGGCAAGCCAGGAGTGGCAGGAGCCATTAGGGCTTGCCACTTCACACCCACCATCCTTCCATGGGGATCCAAGATCTGAGACGCGGCCACAGCCTGCCCAAACCCTTCTGTTCACCCTGTGCCCTTCCAGGAGTGGTCCATGCCCGTGTGACCTTTGGGCATCGAACATCAGGTCTGTGTGCCTCAATCCTGCTAAGGGGCAGGTTTGTCTTTTGCCCCACTGAACCTGGGAGCAAATGCACTACCAGTAGGGAGGGACTGCATGGCTGCCCCACCCTGGACCCCTGGGGCTCAGATCCCGGTGCAGAGCTCCCATGTCAAAGTTGTCTTTGTTTTGTTTCATTGTAGCTCTTTTTTCCCCCCTTTCCTGATTTACAAAAGAAAGCTGTTCAGCAGAAGGCCCTGAAAGTGGGGAGGAGGGAGGGGGCAAGGAAGACAACTAGCTAGAGAGGGTGGGTGTGGTTTTCTGCCAGAAGCCTGAGCAGAATGGTCTGGATCATCTGGTGCCCTCCTGAGGGGGACCCTGAAGTATCTCCTGTGTGGAAGGGTCCCTGGATTTGCCCCAGCCCTCACCCTCTCCTTCAGCCACGCTGATGGCAGAGGCAGAGAAGATGAGAACTTACAGCCCATTTCTCACTGGAGAGGAAAACTTGTCATCTAGCTTTGCGGAGAAGGTTCCACCTTATGCTCATAGTACATTATCTTTACCATGTGCTAGGATATCACACTTAAAAGGACAAAAAAAATGTAAAATACTTGAATGAGCTTGTATTATAACATTAATATTATTGAGAGTATCTGCTTTCCAGGCTGAAGTGATTCATTCATTATTCTAGTCCTGCTTTAGTCCTTTGTAATTTGTGGTAATTATGCTTTTCTTTTTAATACAAAAAAAATGTATAAAAATAAAAACTTGAAAAGGCAAGATACTGGCCAGTCTTTCATGTTGGGTTACAGCTGTTGGGTGTGAGGGATAGTAGCCTGGTTAAGCACTCCCTCAGACCCAGAGAACCCCATACTTGGGATATGTACCTCAAACCTTTGCAGGACCCTGCCACTGGGTTTCTGAGGGTCTGCCTAAGGAAGGGGTTCCTGACAGCTCCTAAGACTGCTGGTGCTTCCAAGGGAACTCCACAGTGTTCTTGAAAGCTGCCAGCCTTGAATTCATGTCCACCTTGGGTCTTATGTGAGACATGGGAGCGACAATTGCTGGCACAGACAGGCACCAGTCCAACAGATCTAATTCCAGGGTTTCAGCTCACTTTTCCCTTTCCTGGCACTGTGTGAGGAGACAGCCGGGAAGGGTGCTGTGATTCCTCATGGAGGTTGGCACAGCCCTTCGCTGAGCGGACTTCCCTGCTGGAGTAAGGGTGTGATAGTTGAGCATTTTGTCATTCTACGGGGTCCGGGTCAGCTCCCTGACCCATGAGGCCAGGTGCTGGCAGTAGTGACATTTCTGAATGCCAGGCTGGTCTAGATGTATATAACAAAACCAAAAGTTAGGCCTGGCGTTTGAGCATCCCCTCCAAGATGTTTTTACAGAGAATTACACAGTCCTTCGGGTGCGGGTGGGTAGGTGCTTTAATACCACCAATGACCCCTATAGGCCAAAGCAGAGTTTAGGGGCTAGTGACCAGGACTCCTGCTGACTGATGTGGAAACACAAAGACAGTCGATTCCACCATACCTCCATAACCTGTGAGGAATGCTCGGGAAAGAAGTCACTGGTGGCTTCATTGTACTGCTGGAGTTCTCAGAATCCATATTATCACTGAATATTGGAACCAGTCATGTGGAGAGGAAAAACTGAAGTGTCTACTGGAATTAAAAGAAGGCCAGTTCATTTTCCATGCTTTTGTCTTTTCACATGCACATTTTCTACTGGGAATGTTGAGACCTCTGACATTCTTGAGCCTTGCTTGTTTTTAACAACCTCAGGGCCACTCTGATGCAGAAGAGGACATGGCTGGGCCCCTTTGCCAGAGCTCCAGCACTGCCTGCTGACAGAGTGAGAGAATGACAGCCTCTCGTCCTTCCAGGCCCTGCAGTACCTCGGAATGTAAAGCCCTTAAAGGGAGAAAACAATCCATTATTCCTTTCTCAAAGCTCCTCATTCCCTACCCTTGTTATGAACCCTGCAAACAGACTATTTTCCAACTGTTTATTCATGGGAACAGGTTGTGAGGGCAGGCCAGCAGCTGCACTTCAAGCTAAGGGCTGGGCCCCCCCAGAGCCTGAGGAGGGTGGGTGGGGCTTTGGAAGGCTAGGGAGGGTAGGATACTGCCCGGTAAGTGCCTGGTTAGCCTGCTGGGTAGGCCCTCGGGGGGTCCTAGGATCCTTAGGAAGGGTGCTGTTTGATAGTTCTGCCTGAAGACTTGGTCATTACCAGATGTTAAGGTATTTTATAAACATGTTTATATAAAGTAATAAATATACAGTGGGTGGTGTTCTTGACAGAACTGAAAGTTGAGGAATTGAACCAAATATATATAAGAATTTAGTAACAACAATGGCCTTTCAAGCCAAAGTGATCTTCAGATTGTTCTTGGAAGCCGCAGGCCTGACAATGTCAGTGGCTGCTGAGGGAATGCCAGGATTTGGGTCGTGGGAGACTGCTTCAACCCCAGCTGCTCTACTGTGGTGTGGGGTGGTTTGGCTTGGCTTGGTTTGGTGGGGTGTGGGGTGTGGGGTGGAGTGGTTTGGTTTGTGTTTTGGTGAGGTGTGTTTGTGGGGTGTGGTGTGTGTATGGTTTGGTTTGGTGGGGGGTGGTTTGGTGGGGGTGGGCTAGGGGGTGAGGTGTGTTTGTGGGGTGGTTTGGTGTGGTTTGGTTTGGTAAGGTTTCACTTGAAAAAGGCATCAATGCTAACATCCTGAATAAATGGTATTGAGACAGCTGGGGGGAAAATGAGGATTTTGCCCTTTCCTTAGCTATGGTTTTCTTGCCTTCTCTTTGGAGGAAGAGGGGTTTATTCTCTTTGGTGCTGCTTCAGAGGGGCTAATATGGGATCTCGGCCCTGTGTCCCCAAAGTCAGCAATTCACTCTCCCCCTGTGGATAAAAGGGTCCTCAGCTTAGCAGGTCCATAGAAGTTGGCCTTTGGTTTCCAGGTATGGCTGAAGGTATTGGGGTTTGGTCTGTACCTCATTAGTATCTCATAAATATAGAAAGAGCTGTGATTGGTATTTTTTCTTTTCGTAGGGGGTGATGTTTGTGCAGTGGGACAGAGCTGAAACAGTGCTTCAGTCACTGACACAGTGTGTGTATATTGGGGGGGGTACAATGAGGATGTTGTGGCCCTGGTCTGAGTAGGGTATGAGAAAAGCTTTTAGGGACAGGAAGGGGCAAAGTGACATCTTGAGCCATATAGCCTCCTACCTCAGTGCCGTCTTTGCCTAGACCACAAGGAGTCATGTGGGGTCCCTCTCCACTTACACAGCAGAGAACAAGGGGGATTCCCCTGGAGCCCTCCCAGCGTGGTTTCTTCCCTGTGACTGACCTCTATTCTAGGGAGTGTTTTTTCCCTTTCCTTAGGCCAACCCTTGGTCCATCCTGATGCACAACAGGCAGTTGGGAGAGCCATCAGCTGGCTCCATCCTTGGCCCTACTTTTCCAGGAGACTGAGCTTCCCCCTGCCCTTGGGGTACCATCGTTAGAGAGGACATTGCTGAAAGAACAAGTTAGCTGAGGCCTCCTTAGCAGTCCAGTCCTGAGGGACAGCCGGATGGCCCTCGGGCCCTCTCTCATGCCACCTTTGGGGGGTCAGGGATGCTCTCAGAGAGTGGGTGAAGCCTAGCAGGGTGGTGTGCCTCTCCTAGGCCTTGGTTTGCTTAAACATGGCATCAGTCCTATGGAGGCAGTCCAGCAGCCCCAGCAGTCCATTACACTGGTTGGACCTGGAAGAGAGAGGAAGGTGCTGTGAGCAGCATGTTGATCTCCATTCCATTTACGCTGGCCTCTCATCTCTCAGCCTTCCTACCCCAAGCCTGTCCCCACCATGCTGACCACCTGCTCCAGAATACTTAGGGGACTTGTTGCTCACATTCCCGGGGCCACTGCCAACTAGAAATCTATGATCTTCCTTTGAAAAGCTGTGTGGTTCCAACGCATGCAAGTCAAAACCAATGGAAGAGCTCAGCTTGCTCAGGTAAGTTCAGGGACCACCTCCGTCAGAATCCCCTGGAACACTTTAAAATGCAGATTTCCAGGCCCAATACACTTGGATTTAGCATATTTGCTACAGAATCCAAGAACCTGTGTTTGAGAGAACATCTCATTTCTGGTCCAGGAGGTTCATAGACCACACTTGAAAAAGCCGAGGCTTTCAGAGAGCACACACGAATTGCATGCAGGAGTTTTGTGCATCTATGCATTGTCCTGAAAGTGTCCATAGCCGACATTAGATACTCAAAGGATTCAGGACCTAAGTAAAGGTGAAAAACCACAGTTGCAGGAAGACCAAGTGTCAGAAAGAAGGAAAAGGGCAAGGTAGTCTGGGTCCAGTGTGGTCTATTTTCACCACCTCCAGACCTCAACCTCCATTAGTGCCCACATTTGAACTGTGACACCAGCATCTTACCGGCTGCCAGAAGGTCCAGGAGTGAAGGTGGAGGTTATTGCCCAGGGACCCACGGGGGGAGGGGAACTCACTTGAAATGGTGGTAGTCATGGAATTCAGGGGAGGGCAAGAAGAGTAGTTGGTAGCCACAGTGGCTATCAGTGGAGACGATGAGGGCTACGGAAACCCACCTGGTGATGGAGGACCAGTGGGAGCCCATTGCTATGGGATCCCCCATCACTGGCAGCTTGTTGGAGGTCTGCAAGGGGAGGGCTATTGGAAGGTGGGCCCCAGAACATGGGGCGCACGCAGTTGGGTGTCCACTTTGCTCCAGGGTGGTACTAGAAAGACTTGCTGACTCAGGTCGGAGAAGCCGAGTTTCGGAACCTTGATTTACTGGAGTTGTTCAGCTTTGTAACATGGGTCAAGTTATTAACTATTTAACGCTCAACTGCCTCACTATTGAAATGAGGACTTAACATTGTCAGGGAGGATTAAATGAGGTAACTTAGTTGGGGATCTAGCATGTGCTAGGTCAACAATAAATGGTAGCTTAATGGGAAGGAGAAAGGAAGGGCCTGCGGTGCCCTCCACCTTTGCCTCTAGGGAGAGCAGAGCTCCACTCACCGAACGTTCCAAGGGGAGGACATGGAGGCTGATCGTGCCAATAGGAGCTGTCCACTCATGGTGTTTCTTGGGGATTTTCTTGTAGAATATTGGATGGTGGACGAGCCTGGGAAAATAGCTAATCACCTGCCAATCTCCCACACCAGACCATGAGAAACCAAAGGTAGGAACTAGGGGTTACATCCTTGGAGAAGAGTTGAAAACACAGTGTTTTCGGCTCTGAGATAGACCTGCCTTTCAGTTCTAACCTCTCCTTTCATGTTGCGTAAAGTGGGGGTGGGGTACTTTGCCTCCCACTACCTCAGTGATACTAGCTGTAAAATGAGGATGATGCGCAGAAAGGATGTGACAAGGAAATGAATGGGAAACTGCCCTGCTGCCCACGGAATCAGAAAAGGCTCTTTTTCCTAGACATTCTCGTGGGTGCAAGTTGCTGGTTATGCAACAAATAACTGTCTCCTTTTTAACTTCAGTGGGAGGCTGTGAAGGCCAGATGGTATTGGTGCTGCACCTACGACTTGGAGGCCTCAGGGTCCTTGCCTGTTAGTGAGCCTAGCAGAATAAGGACCAGCTGCACTCAGACAGGGGCCGCTCACCAGTGCATGTAGTAGAACATGACTTCCTCTGTCAGAGTGAAGACTGCCAGCTCCAGGAGGACCCAGTGGAGGTGGGCAGCTCTCAGCGGCGGGGCTCTCCCCACAACTTGAATAGGGGGTAGAGGAAGGCCGCTGTGGGGAAAGAGATCATGTAATGGTTGAAGAGAACTGAGATAGACTGGCATGTTTGATAATGTCCACCTGCAGGGGGAAGGAAGGCAGAAAGTAGACAAGATTGTGAAAAGTTGGTCTTTCCCTTCTAGAAACGAAGCTGCACTGTGACCTGCTCACAGGAGACCCTCACTTGGGTGGGTGCTAGGAGAGGTGGCTGCCTACAGCCCAGAGCCCTGACTGCTACGCAGCCCTGGGTGGAACCATCTGGTAATACCCCTGCCTTGAACACTCTCTTGCCAACGAGCCTGCACACTGCCATAGCCTACTTTCTCCTTCCTGGTTCTACTGCTGTCACCACAGTCCTTACCATCTCTCTGGCCAGGCCTGACATATTCTGACAGGCACCTTAGGGAGCCTCCTGGAGGCTTGGAGAAGGCTATCAATGGGCAGGCTGATAGGCTTACCCAGCCTTTTAGGCCCTCCTCATTGAGAACGCCTTGACCATGAATACATGCAGACGTCAAGGTCATCTACTTCCTCATGAGGCCCAGCCTCACAGAACCAGGCCAAGTGTAAAAGTGGTGAGCCAGGCAGCTGCCCAGTCCAGCTTCTTGATTAACTTCCTGTGACCTGGTCTTCCTGTTTTTCATGGTGGGGCTGTCAGGATGGAGACCTGCCTGGAATTTAGGAGAGAGTTCTGGGCTAGAGATTCATATTTGTGAGCTGTTGGCATGTACTTGGAATTTAAAATCATGACCCTGGAAGAGATGACTGAGGGAACAAAGGTAGAGAAGAGAACCGAGGCCTGAGCCCTGGGGCATTCAACATTAAGGGGTTGAAGAGATGAAGAGGAACCAGAAAGGAGACTGTGGCATGATCGGTGAGACTTGTGGGGAACAGAGAGATGGGGAGTCTTGGAAGTCAAACACAACAAGCCATTACAAGGACAAGGGAATGAGCAACTGTGAAAATGCTCCTGGTGATCTAATGAGACAAGCCTGAGGTGGGAACACTGGTAACCTTGCCAAGAGCAATTTTGGTGGACTGGTGGGGGTGAAGGCCTGATTGGAGGAGGTGAAACAATGGTTTTGTGATTATTTTAGGAGATGCAGGTGGAAGGATTTAGGGTTAAGTCTTATGATGTCTGGAACTTACTTCGAAATGGCTAAGCAAAAAATTGTAGATGTATGGATATTTATATTTCATAGAGCAAATATTGTAATAAGTTTAAAATTGGTGAATGTAGGTAGTGTGCAAATAAGTGATCATTGTATGGCTTCTTCAATGTCTGTATAGATGTTTACAATTTTTCATAATTACAAAATGTTGGGGAAAAGAGAGTGGACAGAAAGGAAATGGAAAGTGTATAGACAACTCTGTCAAAGAGATTTGCTGCTAAGGGAGCAAAAAGATGAGTGGCAGTGAGTATGGGGGATGGTTTGATTTTAAGATGGGAAAAAGTACAGCATGTATATAATAATCTGGAGAGAAATAATCTAGCAGAAAGAAAGAAAAAAGATACCAGAAAGAGAAGGCACACTTGCTGGAGCAACTTCCTGGAGTAAACAAGAGGTAATGGGGTGGAGTGCACAGATAGTGGAGGACCAGCTACAGACAGGAGCAAGGGGAGCCCACCTGGCTATCAGGTGGAAGGCAGGGCTGGTGCATGTGTGCAGGCTGATGTGCCGAAAGTCTGGTAGCTCACTTCTGCTTGCTCCGGTTTACTGAGTGGGGTAGGAAGCAAGGGCATCCTCTTGGAAGAGGTTAGGAAGGAGTTTTGGGGGGATTTGAGGAGAGAAGAAAATGTGTGACCCCTTATCCAGGAGAGGGAGAGAGTAAACAAACTGGGGTCAGGTCTCAGGAACGCTGGCAGCATGCAGGTCCCACCTGAGGATCTGTTTCTGAGGTCTTAGGTCAGGGATCAGGCCTTTCTGAAATGGGCCGAAGACTTTTGCAGAGTTCTGTTTAACCTATGTGCCCACTTAAGCGTGCACATGTTGTGGGATCCCTGGACCTGCTGGAGTCAGACAAGACAAGCCCTGGCTGTGTTTCCTGAGCTCGTCACTGTGCCTTTCTGAATCTCAGCTTCTGCCAAATACAAAGAGCCCATCCTGGTGTGTCTCTCCAATCACTGCAGGCTGTGAAGTGTTACTGTATTAGGTGATGTTCTTGAGGATGTCCAGATGTGGCCTGGTGGTTAAAAGCACAAGCCCTAGAATCAGAAAGCTGGAATGTAAATCATGGTTCTACCCATGTCACATCTCAAAGCCTCCATTTCCTCATCTGAACAATAAAGGTTATTATAGTAGTTGGCCCTGAAAACGTGAGCATCTAGTCCACGGTGACCGGTAAGGAGACCGCCAGGGTCTGACAGGTGAAGGGCACTAAGATGGCCAAGCACTGGCTTTCATACCCGGGCTCCAGTCCACGCCTGCCCCGCTGGGACTGGGGGAAGCCCCCTGGCCGGCTGGCAGCTATTGTCTCAAGCGAGGGGAACTGTGAGCCAGCAACTCTGGCTCAGGAAGGGGCTGTTCAGAAAGCCTGGGTCAAGGGCACTATTCTTCACCTATTCTGCTTTCTGGAGGGCTGGCCTGAAGCAGAATGCCCTGAGAGCTGATGGGATTTATGCAGACACCTGGGTAGACAATTAAAAATGATTGTCTTCCCTGGGAAAGAAGCCAGGATGTGGTTTGGGTGGTGTTAGGAAAAGAACCTGGGTTTAAGAATCAACTTCGTGTTGTGTAAGATAAGGTTCCCGGAGACAGAGCACCAAGCAGGTGAGCTGGGATAGGCTCAGAGAGCAGTGAGGCTCAGTTCGCGATGCTGTGTAAGTTGGAGGTGTACGTGCTGGCCTTCTCTTCCTTACTGGGCCAGGACTTACTCAAAAGCAGGGTCCAGGCCTTGTTTATCATGGATAAATTATGCAGTGTTGATTGAATTGAGTAACTGGGAAGGTTAAAAAACAACCACCACCACAGATTCAGAGTCCACATGACCTGTCTATCAGAGTGGGCTAGCCATTGTTCAGCAGGTCTCTCCCTCACAAAAACAGCTGTTACCTACAGTTTCAGCATCCAATCGTTGCTGTCCCTGCTCCCATGGCTGACGGGGACCTGCCTGACATCTCTGGGACTAGGCCCAGTGCCAGGCTGGGCGCATCATTTCTATCCCTAAAATGCTGACTGCAGTGCTGTGGCACAGCACAGAAAGGACAGTCCTGCCTGGTTGGCTCTGAGATTTAGAATAATTACTTCCTCTGACTAACCTTCTAGGTTGGGGGATCCTGGTACCCAGTGACTTGGCTCACCCTGGCCATGGTCTCTCCTGAGCCAGCAGTGAGAATTTTAAGAGGGTGGCTTTAGCTCTTGCTTTCTGTGCTGTGACCAGGAGAAGCTGCAGGCACACTTACCGGTTCACTCCTGTCAACGTGAATTTGGTATTGCAAGATGAAGTTAGGTTTACCAGTTGTGTCAACCATCACTAGAAGCCCATTTAAGCTCCAGAAGAGCAGACTGGGTACCTGGGCACCTAAAGTCAGGAAACAGAAGGAAACCATCAGGGAGGCTTCAGGTTCTTGCAGCACATGTGTTAACTAAACACACTGATGGGGACTGAGGCTACACTGTACATGGTCCCTCGCCAGGGAGGTCCTGGTGTTCAGGGCCGGGGGGCCCTACCTTTGGTCCTGGGGTGGAGGTTGGACAGGCCACTTAAGGAGTGTCTCTGTTTTCTTAGTTGTAAAATGGGGACAGTAACCTCCTAGGTGTTGTCCTTCCCCAAAATATAAAAGTATTTTCATCTAGACACCTGGGTTGGTAATTAAAAAATGATTGTTCTCCCTGTGAGAGAAGCCGGAGTGTGGTTGGGAAGTCTGTGGGAGCCTCTGTTTGTTGGGTGGGGTAGGAAGCAAAGCCATCCTCTCAGAGAAGGTTAGGGGAGGAGTTTTGGGGGGATTTGAGGAGAGAGGAAAAGGTCTGACTCGCTATCCAGGAGACTTGAGAGAGTAAACAGACCAGGGTCAGGTGTCCAGAATGCCGGCAGCATGCAGGTCCCACCTGAGGATCTGTTTCTGAGGTCTTAGGCCAGGAATCAGGCCTTCCTGGAATAGGCTGAAGACTTTGGCCTCCAGGAGTTCTTTTTAAGTTGTGTGCCCACCTAAGGGTACACACAAATGGGAAAAACAGCACCCCCAAAACACCTAAGTATGTTAAGATGTATATAATACACTCTAAAATAGGAATGAATGTAGGCTGACAGACGGGCGTGTGTGCCCACTGAGCCCTTTGGGGATTCCCAAGGAAAGGAGAAGCAGAGGAGGGCCTGGGCCAGGTGGTTCGCCACAGCGCTGGGTGAGGCCTGCTTGGGGAACCTGATCCCTGTCATCCTACTAACTGGGTAATGCATCTTCAGGCGTCCACTCAGCATTTCCTCAAGTGGAAAACTCATCTCCCAAGGGCCTCCTTTGTCCAGCAGTCTCCCACCCTACTGTCCTGGAGAGCCTCATGGTCCAGACTAGTGTGTTAATGGCATGGAGAAGTCCTGCAGCAGAGAAACCTGTTTGAGAAGAAACCTTCCCTAGGCTTTTTTCACCGTAGAACTCTGTTTCCTCAGAACACCTAAGAATAGGGATCCATGCATCCCTGTTTACCCAGGATCATTTCATTTTACATCTGTCATTCCAGCATAATTACTAATAACTCATTTACTCTCACAAATGTCCTATTTGGATAATTTATTATATGGCCAACCCCCACCCCCACCCCCCACCCCCTATTAACATCCCGCGACACTGACAGCCTGCAGGATATATCAGAAAATGCTGACTGAGGCTTAAAATATAGATATGGATTTTTTTCCACAACTGACTTTTCTTTTTTTAAAAATATTTTTATTATGGTATTATTGATATACACACTTATGAAGGCTTCATATGAAAATACAAGGTTACTACATTTACCCATATTATCAAGTCCCCACAATATCCCAATGCAGTCACTGTCCATCAGTGCAGCAAGACACCACAGATTCACTATTTGCCTTCTCTGTGCTGCACTGTTCTTCCCATGATCCACCACACCATGTGTACTAAACATAATTTCCCTCAGTCCCCTTCTCCCTTCCCTCCCCAGCTGCCCTCCCACACCCCTCCCCTTTGGTAACTGTTAGTCCATTCTTGGGTTCGTGAGTCTACTGCTGTTTTGTTCTTTCAGTTTTTGCTTTGTTCTTATGCTCCACAGAGAGTCAGATCATTTTATACTTATCTTTCTCCGCCTGGCTTATTTCACTGAGCATAATAACCTCTAGTTCCACCCATGTTGTTGCAAATGGTAGGATTTGTTTTCTTCTTATGGCTGAATAATATTCCATTGTGAATATGAACCACATCTTCTTTATCCATTCATCTACTGATGGACACTTAGGTTGCTTCCATATCTTGGCTATTGTAAATAGTGCTGCGATAAACATAGCGGTGCATATGTCCTTTTGAATCTGAGAAGTTGTATTCTTTGGGTAAATTCCAAGGAGTGGGATTCCCCAGTCAAATGGTATTTCTATTTTTAGTTTTTTGAGGAACCTCCATATTGCTTTCCACAATGGTTGAACTAGCTTACATTCCCATCAGCAGTGTAGGGGGATTCCCATTTCTCCACATCCTCCCCAGCATTTGTTGTTCTTAGTCTTTTCGATGCTGGCCATCCTTACTGG